GACCCTGAGGCAAAAGTTGTTCAGTTTATTTTTCTGCATAACATAGTTTTTTTTTTCGGATTTCTTGGATTTTTTTTTTTTTTTTATTTTTTTTTTTTCTTGCTGGGACCTTCCTTGGTCCTTGCACGGGCTGGCCACCCACGACCCGGGCGGCCCGGCTGGTAGCCTAAATTCTGAGTCTTTTCTGACAAATCTCAGATACACTGGTCATTTAAAAAAAATGAGAAAAAAAAAAGATATAGTGGTCGTTAAAAAAGAAAGAAAGAAAGAAAGAAAAAAATACACTGGTCATACCTGACGTTTCAATCTTTTTTTTTTTCTTTTTTTCTTTTTGAATTGGACATGCTCCAATCTATTCGTGGGAGCAACACGTGCTGGGAACCAGGCCCAGCGTCCCATTCAAAAACATATTGAGAAGATTATGTAAAAAACTTTACCGGGGCCATTACCCGGCTTCGGCTAAAGATGATAGCTATGCAATCTACACAGAGAGTTAGGTTCTCTGGGGATTGATCATGGCAATGTTCAGACCGAAAACCACCTGCCTTTAGCAACTGTCAGCAGCTCAACCCTATCCGCCTCTCCCCTATACCCCGATACCCTATCTCTACCAGGCCTCCCACCCCCAACTGCTACGTTACAGAGTGGCACGACCCACCCCAGTGCTAGGCTACAGGGCAAAGCGACCCGCCCCGGCTCCAGCCAGCGTCGACTAAGTATCAGTTCACTAATAGACACTAGAGTGCCTTCCACCCTCGACAACTCCCCAGATCGCTCTACCAGGTCTCATGCCCCCATACCGCTCAGGTTACAGGGCAGCGCGACCAAGCCCCAGCACCGACCAGTGTCGTTCTGATCTCGTCCATTCGTCAACCACTGGGACCTAGGACATCAGCAGAAACCAGACAAGCCACCAATCGTCGCCATCCACTCTTTCAAGCACTGGTTGCAGACATCCAACCAAAAAAACCATCTCAACCTTACTCCGACAAGACTTACTGCGGTAGAGCTACCATCTCCACCGCTGCTGTACCCTATTTCCGCCCTACTGGCTAGCCCCTTCGCCGCAGAGCGCATTATCTCCAACCATGTCCACGAACACAGTCCGCTGCAACCAGCATCAAAATTATGGAAATTTTTCCTATTACAACCTAAAAAATCACAAGAATTCAGGGAACTCAAATACAAGTGCAGGAATCGTAACCTAAAAAGACAGTCAACACCTTCTTCCCACAAGGAGAGAGGATGGGAGGGAACTACTCTCCCCATGGAAATTCCTCCGCCTATTCACGTCTCTGCTGAATGTAAAAGGCTCACAAGAAACCGAGCGGATTACTCCCCCCCCAAAAACGAACTCCTGTCCTTTGACTGCCTCCGTTGGAAGGCGCCCCCTCACCTCCCAGGCCCAGTTCAGAACAGCCCCCTAAATCACTCGTGCTCCCTCAGCAGCATGCAATACCCCCCAGAGCATGCCCCCGCAGAGCTGAAGATCCCCCTTCCCTCGTGTCCCACCCCCTCCAAGTGAAACACCTCTCAACCTCTCACCTTGCTGAAAACAGCACGGCCCCTTGTCCTCCCTCCCAACCGTCGTGGCTGATCCGACCCAAATCAGCCTGGCCCAGAAGAGAACAAACCCACAATACCGCCCCTACCCTCTCAAGGATCACACCTCCCACCTTGTATAACCCTCGGAGGGAGGGGCTCCAAACCCTGAAGGAGATAATTCAATCAGCACCTATGAGCCCAAATCCTACAACATCACAGCTTGAGATTCGATTGTGACTAGAAATCCTTCAAACAGGTGACATCAAATATCGAATTCAAAAAATAAGAGCCTTGTGCACACGATATAGAACTACATTAGATTTAGAATTAGATCAAAGATGGATAAACGTAGGATATCAATTCCAGTTTGAGAAAATCAATTTGTAACTCATTGTAATTCAAAATTTAGTAATCATTCACTGGGATCAGAGCAAAACTTTGATTTACGAATTTCAGATTAGGAATCTTGCTCAGAAAATACGAATTTAAGATTAAGAATCCTGCTCAGAAAATACGAATTTCAGATTAGGGATCTTGCTCAGAACAGAAAATACGAATTTCACCTGACGTTTCAATCTTGCATCCGGATTAGAAATCAAAGGGGCTACGTAAGCGACTGCTCCCGCATCGACCACCGCTTGAGCCAGCTCCGGTGTATGTTTAGCAATGTCACTCAATGAGGATGCCGCTATCCTTTTCAAAGGGATTTCTGGCTCCTTTATTGTCATCAACCGTGTGCCAATTTACATTCAGAACAGCAGAAGCACAGATCATGTGCAGAAACGATTCCACAAACAGTTAAAAGTTGAAACCCACAATGTGGCCGAGAGATCATTCGAATAATTGTCAATATGACAATAACACCATTACATCGGGCTGTCTTTCAGGACACCTTTAAAATTGGAAAGATATCACAGAAGATTAGCATGTCCCCTGCACAAGGACAACAAGCATAACTCGAGAAACGGTCAAAATTCTTGTCCGTGACCAAGTTCCACCGAAGCACTGACTGCGCACCCTCCTCACCTCGGTTGGTGTGAGGAACGATGATGGCCGAAGATGGGGTCAGCTGTCACCTATTCAAACACCCTCCTCCCCCTCTTCCCCTCCCCCCCTCCCCCCACCCCCACCCCCTAAAAAAAAGCCCTGGACCTGGCTACAGACTCGGTACAGAGCCAAGCACATACGAAGAGGGAGACACAGGGACGGAGGTTGGGTGAATTCTGTGACCCATGTTAGGGTTATTCTAGCAGAATGACTCAATCGCAAAACTCCGTCAAAAAATTACTTACACCACAAGACCGTAGTCATCATGCAATTCCGGCATGTTCTCTCAGGGTTCTGGCGCCATAAAGGTGTGAAGATCGCGGGTAGGCCCAGGCCTTCAAGGAGTTCTGTGCTCCACATTCATGCCCTTTCTGCATCGATCCTCCTAAATGGAGAGCTAGGCTCAGCTAGCAAGGCCATGATTTCCGTTGTCATGTTTGCCTTTGCAACTCCACAGATAAGGCATCATTGTGCCAGGCCGTTTCGTCGAACTTTCACTGACTCATCAGAAGGTTGAACTCCCACAGTCTGCCCAGGATGCATTTGTGAGAAATATAAATCAAAGATAAGTTAGATAATTGGATTTAAAAAAGAAGATGAGGTTCTCTCTTTTTAAGTTTTTTTTTTTTTTTTTAAAGAAGAAGAAGAAGATGACATGAGCTTTACTAGCATGGCGCTATCATCTCCCCTTCAACGTCTTCTCGGATTCACACCACCGAGTTACTCAACTCTTCCACTCACCATGTCACGCAGGATGCATTTGACTGATGGGTAAGAAGTTAAGAACTCACCGCGTCACCCAGAGTTAGTGATACCGCTGAGAAAAGTGGTTGACGTTACTCACACCAGACCTACAATCGTAGCAGAGTATTGGTCCAAACCTCTGGCAGGATGTCCAAGTGTGTTGTGACTGTTGTCATATTCGCTTTACATCTCCGCAAAAGAAGAATGACTGTGCCAGACCACTTCATCAGGAGGTCGAATCATGTGTGTGCGTGTGTGTGTGTCTTAGACTATCACCGCAACAACCCCTTTTCCAACAAAATGAGCAGATCCAAAATTGAAGCAGCCTTACCTTACAATCTTGTGTCCTGTTATAATACCTTACATAGCCATGGTGACGGGGGAGTTAAAAGAAGAGTGAGAAAAAGAGTGGTTTCATTGTGCTCTTCGTGTTTGTTTTGTGTTTTTTCTTTTTTTTTTGTTTGTTTGTTTCGCGTAAGTGCGATCTTTAGTTCATAACTTCATAGATATATGACAATCTATCATATTTTCTTCTTCTTCTTTTTTTTTTTTTTTTTTTTTCCCTGAAAACAACCTGGGTGAATGCTAGGAGCGCTGGTAAGAGCAGACGCCTCTAGCAAGCCCGGGGAGGCTCCATCTATTGGTGGGGAGCAACACCTGCTGGAAAACGGGTCCAGCGTCCCTATGAACGATCAAAAATCATGTAAACATGCCATGTGTCCATCGTACTGTAAACAGAAGGAGCTAATGCACCGACACGCAGGCACGCAGCGTTATCCTAATGAGCGGCAACGATTGCTCTGAACCGAGGAGTCGGCTGCCCATCACTTCATAAGATCATACCCCTATTCAGCAGTCCTCACCGTGTAATCAAATCTTCCAGCACCATGAGGAGGGGAGGGGACAGTCGAAATAGGGAAACCATCGCTAAAAAAACCCTCAATAGGGAAGCTATCGAAGAACACTATCGAAAAACACTCACGTGACAGGGCCATGACACACCCACTGCCCCGCCTTGTCTACCACGTGGCAAATCCTAGTGTTTATACCACGGGGATATAACCCCCCGGGTGGCGTAGTAAAAATCGAAATCAAATGGTCATGCCACGTGGCAACTCCGATGTAAACTAAGAAATTTGTCCGAGCGGCAGCGCAGGCACATACCCTAACCTCACATCCGCAGAGCCCTGACACCCCCAGTGCACCGCCTTGCCTGCCACGTGGTGAATCCCAGTGTCTATACACATATGTTAAGTGTTGTGAACAGCATTGATTACCCTCAATAGAGGGGATTGACTGCCCACCCAAGCATGAATTCACACCCCACCCTGAAACACTCATGTATCACCCAAAGGGCATTCAGTACCATGAGCAGAAGAGGCAATCAGAGCAGGCCTCCCTAACAGCCACATCCTAATATCCAAGTGGCGGGCCCAAATGAATTACACACAAAAAAAATTCCGCAGCGCCGCTTCTCGCGGCACTTCCTTCCCCGCCACCCGTTTAATACAAATCACTCTATCATATTCTTTTTTTTTTTTTTTGATGATTCTAAATGGTTGTATGTTAGATAATTCTGACGTTTTGATGAAACTGCCGTGTCACTGCTGTATTGTGAGGAGTGTGCAGTCCATCACGTCTGTGCACTAGCGTGGAATGCATACACACCGTTTGCTTTTCAGCACACCTGCACATTATGTTTTGTCTGTTCTCTTAATGATGCTCATCCATATGCATTTAGTAGTTCTGCATGAAGGGAGCAGGTCCATAGGTTGGTAGGCCTGAGGTCAAGGGTCAAATTGAGGCACTCGGGACCTCCGGCAGTTAATATCAGCCTTTGAATAATCAAAAGTCAGGCCTAGCCCCGGCACACAAGTAAACCCTGAGTATAGTTTTTAGAAGCTTCAGGGATCCCTGGGTCCAGCCATACACTGGCCGCAAGAAAATCTTCGCCGAGCAGATCGGGAAATTTCAGCCACATGAGTAGGCAACCGATGGCAGGCCAGGACGAGTCAACACTACAAATATTGGGCCTGCCCCAGGTCATGGATTCATTCTGCCTTGCACTGGTCTGAGGGAGGAGCTCTACTCCGTGAAGAAGGCATACAGACAGCAAGAGTGACAGTGAGACCAAGAATAGGCCCGCTAGGATAGGCAGTGCACTGCACCATAGCATAGCACATGCACGCGCTCACGCGCGCGCACGAGAGAGAGAGAGAGAGAGAGAGAGAGAGAGAGAGAGAGAGAGAGAGAGAGAGAGAGAGAGAGAGAGAGAGAGAGAGAG